AAGAAAAGTGCCCAACTAAACTTTTGCAAAATTGCTGCTGTTTCTGTTTTTCTTTTTCGGCTCGTACAACTCTATAGCAGGTTTCTTGCTTACTTTGGATGTTGAAATAAAATTTCAAGTCGCTAAAAATAAATTATGAAAAGGAGTGTAAACTCTATTTGGCCAATGCGTTAGCCTAAACTTTGTTTGGTACATGAGCTTAGCTCAAATTAATTAATATTTAAGAGGTTTTTCTTTTTTAAACAAACTGTACTTCTCCTTGAGCAATTTTTATTGGTTACATAGCAATTAATTAAATAAAATATATTTGTTATGCGTATTTACTCAAGTCAATAACATTAATTTTCTAAATTGTTTGATCAATATACACTCAATTATCATGTTATTTCATTTTAAGAATTAGCTCGTCTCTTCAAAAAAAATAACTTGTCTAATATTTTTATTAACGTCTTATCAAAACATCATTTTAAAACTAAACATTTGATTTTTAATATTTCTATAATCATTAAATGTAATCTATAGTTACTTAAATTTGTTAAATACAATTTGTAGTTACTTACATTGACTTTTTTTGAGCTTCATGTAAATTTATTATCAATTGTTAATTTTTTCAATCAAATCATCATCATTCATCTCATATATAAAATAAAAAAGAATTCAAATACGTAAAACCTGAGACTTAAGCATTTTTTTTTATTGTAACTTCCTTTATGTGCCTTACCTTCGTCTTCTATTTACCTTAAATATTTTATTGACTTGAGCGTAGAAACACGTTTCGAAAAAATAACTTCATAATTACGATCATCGTTCACTAGGGTTTTGATCATCATTCACTAGGGTTTTAATCATCGACTCCCTTATCATCAGGTCACTAACTTCTTTGACCTTCGCACTGGGCAAGCTTCAACCCCCGTACATGGTCTTACAAATTTGTGAAAACCTATGTTTTGATAAACAGCCGTTCAAGCTTGGTCATTACCACCCCCTTTGTGAGAAAGCACCCATTCTCTCAAAGTTATGGGGCTATTTTGCTGAATTTTTTAGAGAGAGTTGTGTTGCACTCCTAAGTATTCTTTACTTAGCTACCTGTGTCAGTTTCAGGTACAAGTACCCTTTGACAGTGCTTTATGGTTATAGATTCAAATCACCTCACCTTCAATCTCCCACCAGATTCCTCCAACTAAGACACTTATAAAAACCACCAACAATACTTTAATTATCAAGCAAAGAAATGGAAACAATATATTATTAAGAAACTAATAAATTTTTTTCATATAAAAAATAAAATCATGCCTTTTCCTATACAAAATATACACGTTTTATTTTCATTTTTCAAAATAGTATTATTTGTATTTGAAACATACCTTTTGGTTTTAGAAGTGGTTAGAATACTATACAAAAGAAATTTAATTCCATAAGGCGGTTCCATGACTTCATGAAATCCAAAGGACTATTATTTAGCATAAGATGTCATCTAGTCGACATAAAAATTAGCTTCTTGATGAATATGATGTATCTGACAAATCTAATCTCTTTGTATATAATCCCTCTGAATCAAATTAAAATGAAAATCAAATGGGAAGAAATCTCTCAAAATTTCAACATAACCACTATTGAATCTGATTTTAAAAATATAGCTCGATGACCTCTATCCCAACATAGTTGAAGAATGTAATAGATAGCCTAAAGTTTAGTTGTGAGAATATAAGTCCATCCAACACCATGCACAAAACCTCTCATCCAAACACTTATTGAGTCACAACTAATATCATTAGTCCAAGCTAAACCACAATTTACTTTACAATTATCGTCCACATTAACTTGAACATGGTTATGTGAAGGTGGTTCCCAACCAAAAAGAATCTTATGTATGTAACAAAGGTCATTACTCTTTAAAACCAGCCATGATTTTTTGACTTTTTCAAAGATGAGTAAAGCATCATTGCTAGGCCATTTATAATCATTTTAAAAGATAGAGTGATTTCTCCAATTACAAATAAGCCATTAGGAACTTTGAAGTAAATAACATTATTTTCGCAATTGAGAATTGAGAAAAATCTAAGATTGTAAGTGTACTTGGAATTAATTTTAGTTAATAAGCCTATTCCTTTGTTAAAAAAAAAAAAAAAAAACCCAAAACTTACATGAAAGCTAAATAAAAAAAAAATTCTCATCAAGAAAGTAAAAAACAACAAAGAAACAATTCCAATTAAAAAAAAAAAAGATACTTTTAATAGGTCTTGCTTTAAGAATCTCTTGTGAACATCCAATGAAAACGTCTTTGACCCCAAGCTTCAACAATCTTCAAACTACCTTAAATTTTCTCGAATTCAACAAACTTACCAACAAAAAAAAAAAATCAAATTAAACAAAAATTATCAAGTAAATGACGTTTAAAACTAAATTAGGTATTTCAATATTATATTCACTATTCACATTCTTTCAAATATTCTGAATAACACAAGTCTAAAATACCTAAAAATCCTTATAATTTGATTTTGTAACAAAAATTTTAAAAACTTATCAAAGTATACAAAAGCGAGGAAAAAAACCATTTTTATTAAAAAAATTAAAGACAAAAATAAAATTAATTAAAATTAAAATAGGATCGTACAAAATTCTTGCTTTTTCTCTGTAAATAAGTGGTTAAAGGAGTCGGTGGATGGGTTATAGAGAAGCTTGACGACGCAAGGCCAGAGGTTTATTAATGGTATTCCACGCCGTTGCTATTGTTATCCTGACGCAGATTATATGACTATAAGGCCAAACCTAGCAGATCGGTCAAACTTAGTAGATTGGTCCATCGGTAGTTTCCTGTTCTTTGCTCTCCCTCCCTCCATCTTTCTGTTTCTCCTTGCCTTTTCATTTGTTTCTTGGATGCTGATTGTAGCTTGGTTGTTGATTCCCTTCCTTTTACGCCGCCTTTTATTTATTTCCTTATCGTTCTCTTTCTCTTTCTTTTTTTTAATTTTTTTAATTTTTTTAATTTTTTTTTGTTACCGTTTGTTTAATGAAGTCCAAAAAACCTTAGTCAATGACAAATGTCATTCACAAAACCCCTTACATAGATAGTTTTCATGTATAAATATGTTATGAAGACCCTCCTATCTCTTTTCGAGAGGGGAATCCGTGATACATGGACTCTTGTTACTTCAAAATGTTGGGTCATTTGTTATAGAAAAATTGTGAAAATTATTTATTTTGATTAAAAAATTTTATGATTTTATTTTATAAAAAATATTTTATAAATAAAAATATAAATTTTTACGATTTACATATATATTATAATATAAGTTAAAATGTATAAAAAATCCTTAAATTATAATTAAAAAATTTTTAATTAATTTTTTTTATTACAATCAATTAACACCTTAAACATTTATTTGCATCGAAAATATAAACAATCTCTGCATATACAATTGTGGATCTTTACAAATTCTTAATATGAGATTAAAAGCATTGAAAAAATTATTCAAGTGGAGCTTTTAGACACCAATAATAGAACTTTTAACAAGACAAACATATATACTTCTGTAACATATAAACAAAATCAAAAAATAGAAAACGGAATAAAAAAGAGGAGTGCACACCAAAATTTATAAGGGCTTAAAAATCAAAGGCAGAATCATTGGTCTTTCCATCGGTCTGTTCAGCAGAAGAGTCCAACCTCACCAGAGATCGTCTAAGCTGGCCCGGTAACACAGGTCATCGAAGACAACATATATATATATATATAATTTTATTTTTCTTGATTAGGATTATATATATATATATATATATAGAGAGAGAGAGAGAGAGAGAGAGAGAGATATTAAGATCAAATTTATTATTTTATTATTAAAATTTGTCATTATATATTTTTATTGTTTTACTTTAAAAAGTTTTGACATGGGATATTAGTAAAAAAATGATTTCAAACTTTAAAAATACTGTACGTTTAATTAGAGAAATTATGATGACATTAATTTTTAACATTGTTTATGAATATTTATTCGATTTAAATTGATTTTTTTAGAATAAAATATTTGTAAATGAAATTATATAGTAATAGTAAAAATCCGTAAAATTGTAGCAGCACCAAGTGATTGAAGAGCAATGACATTTCATTTAATTGGGAGCAATAAAAACAATTCAATTTAGTAAAACACAACAAGTGATGCTTTCCTTGTCATGCATTCCACATGCTAATGCTAACACACACACACACACACACTTTCCCCCTTCAATCAAACCTCACCTACCTTTCCTTCCCAAACTACTCTTCCTTTCTCTTGCTTTCTTTCATACTTCAAATTCAAATTACAATGTTAATTTATAATTAATAGAAAATCCAAACCCATGGGCAAACATAAACAAGTGTAGTAAGGCCCCTACCCGACCAGAACTTAATCAAAATAGTAAAAGTTATTCTCATATTTATGTTGTTAGTTGGATAGCGCGAGAAAAAAAATTAAAAATACAAAAAATTAATTTGAAATTAGAAAGTTTGGTTTAAATTTTTTTATTCAATTTAAATTAAATTTAAATATTACATATATATTAAATTTAAATTAAATTTTATATCAAGAGATAAAAACTTAAAAAAATAAAAATTGTAAATTTTTATATTTTTATATATATTTTAAATTTTTATAAAAATAAAAAATAATAATTTTATATCAAAATTATTTAAATATATTAAATTTTTTTATTAAAATAATATATAAAAATTAATTTAAAATTTTAATAAATTAAATTAAATTAAACCAATAAAATTTGTTTGTGTTTGATCTAATTAAATTTTTAAATTTTATAATATTACGTAATATTAAAAAAATTAAATATGAGAATTAAAAAAAAAAAGGGGCAGATGGAGGTAGAAGAGAAGATAATGTCTGTCCATAAAAAGCGTTAGAAGAGGTTTAGGCCCCAACGGCAACGGACAATTCACCCCGAAGTGGTTCATCTCATCTCCCAACCAACCTCCTTTCTTTGATTGTTAAGGTAAGGGAGTAGAGAATTTGTTTGGTGAGCCTTTTGCCTACTCTTCTTCTACTCCAAGCAAAAAGCTTCTCCCCTTCATCTTCTTCTTATGATGCTTACCACATAAATAGATAGATATAGTTGCTGAATTCGTTTGTTTCATTGTTTGTTGTTGTTGTTGTCGCAGATCTTCAATCCAAATGGCTCGCAAGAAGATCAGAGAGTACGATTCCAAGAGACTTCTGAAAGAGCACCTAAAACGTCTAGCTAATATTCATCTCCAGATCTGCTCTGCCCAGGTTCCTTCTTTCTTCTCAGCGCAAAAGCTTAAATTAAGATAATCGAACTGCAATTCCTTAAATAACTTTTAAACACTAATCTGTATTTTGCTTTATTTAGGTGACACAATCCACTGATTTCACTCAGTTAACAAACCAAGAACCATGGCTTTCATCCACCAGATTGGTTGTTAAGCCAGATATGTTGTTTGGGAAACGTGGAAAGAGTGGCTTGGTTGCTCTCAATTTAGATCTTGCTCAAGTTGCTGAATTCGTCAAAGCACGCCTTGGCGTTGAGGTCACATATCTATCTTAATTTAACAATTTTCTCGTCACTCATGCATCACTTTAATTTGAATCCTTGTGTTTTAGGTTGAGATGGGTGGTTGCAAAGCTCCTATAACCACATTCATTGTTGAACCTTTTGTCCCCCATGAACAAGAGTATTACCTTTCAATAGTCTCAGAAAGGCTTGGCTCAACCATTAGCTTTTCAGAATGTGGAGGCATTGAAATTGAAGAGAACTGGGATAAGGTATTTTGTTAATCTTTTATTTTTGCCTACCTTTACCTTTGTTTTTGCTTAGCCTTTTGTTGTTTCCTCTGATTTCATTTATTCTCCATTTGTTGAATTTATAATTTAAAAAGTTGACATGTATTTTATCTGTGATTTTTGTAGGTTAAGACCATTTTCCTTTCATCTGAGAAACCTATGACCCCCGAGACGTGTGCGCCATTGATAGCTACACTCCCTTTGGAAGTGCGTTTCATTAGTATCTCTTTCTAACTTGTTTATTTCCTTCTAACTTTTGATGGCATCTCTTTGGAATTTATTCCCTTATCTTTCAGATGTATCATTGCTGATAATTTGCAACCTATTATATGTATTACTAGTTTTAGTCTCTTTTGCTGTGTTGCGTTGTCTTTATCTAGTTAGTGCTCATTCTATTTATGCATCATATAGGTTCGAGGGAAGATTGGTGTCTTCATCATGGGTGTCTTTTCTGTCTTTCAAGGTACTTACTATTCATGGTTTCAGATTTTCAGGCTCTTTGTTTCGTTCACGGAACTAAAGAAATTGCATGACTGAAAATGATGCAGTAATCCACCTGATTCTAAGTAATATCTTAAATGCCAGATTTTTAAGGGATCATAAATATTTTACATAACTGTCACTATGATCGTTGAATATCAGCATCTCTTTTCTAGGTGATTTAGGTTCCTATTTTATGGTATTCTTTGCTTTTGTCATTTATACTTAATTCATTACATTATTGTAGAGTTCTAAAACTATCTTGTGTTAGTATTTATGTTGATCTTTTCTGTTGGCCGCAGATCTTGACTTCAGCTTTCTGGAGATGAATCCATTTACGCTGGTGAATGGAGAACCATACCCACTGGATATGAGGGGAGAGCTGGATGACACTGCTGCATTCAAGAACTTCAATAAGTAAGTTTCTTTTCAGGTCAAGTTCAATAGCTATATAACTCCTCAGCATAAGTATATCTGAAGGAGAGTGTATTAAAAACAATTTTATGCATTCAGGTGGGGTAACATAGAGTTTCCTCTGCCTTTTGGAAGAGTCCTGAGCCCAACAGAAAGCTTCATTCATTCATTGGATGAAAAGGTACCTACGTGCTTGTTATAGCTCAAGTTTCAGTGTAGAATTTGTCTCCAAATGGTTGAAGGACATTTATTAATCACTATCTTTACTTAACATTGCAGACGAGTGCATCCCTGAAATTCACTGTTTTGAATCCAAAAGGGCGTATCTGGACAATGGTTGCTGGAGGTGGTGCCAGTGTCATATATGCTGATACTGTAAGTGGTATAATGGATTTGTGTTACATTTTATCTAGACAATCTTTACTTTCCGTTGACCTTATCTTTGGCTCAAGTTTGTCCATAAAATGATCTTGATAGTGATAATAGGCAGGTTAATATCATTTGATGCTATTCTAAGGACTTATTTCTGTTTATTTAACTAGGTTGGAGATTTAGGTTATGCATCAGAACTGGGCAACTATGCGGAGTATAGTGGAGCTCCAAATGAGGAGGAGGTCTTGCAATATGCAAGAGTTGTTATTGATGTAAGAAACTGTGACTGGTTTAAGCTTTCTTATAGAACTTAAGCACTTTCATCAAATTAGAGATATTCTGGAACAATTTACCCATTTAGGATGTTGCAGTGTGCCACTGCAAACCCTGATGGTCGTAAGAGAGCCCTTATCATTGGAGGTGGCATTGCTAACTTCACTGATGTTGCTGCTACTTTCAATGGCATTATTCGAGCATTGAGAGAGAAGGTATAATTTAGCTGAAGTCAAATAAATTGCAGTTCAATGGTTGAAATTCTCCTTTCATCTTTTCTGATCCTTTGTCCTCCCCCTCACTCCTAGGAAGCCAAGTTAAAAGCAGCAAGAATGCACATCTATGTTCGAAGAGGTGGACCAAACTATCAAACTGGTTTGGCAAGGATGCGTACTCTTGGAGAGGAACTGGGAGTACCACTTGAGGTATGAGATCACAGTCTGCTTTTGCGAAAAATGTTCTATATCATTTGATATCTTTAAGCAATACTGATTACTCATGAAAGAAACAGTAGTCTTTCAACTTGAGTATGTTATTCCATTTGGTTACAGGTTTATGGGCCCGAGGCCACGATGACTGGCATATGCAAGCAGGCAATAGATTGCATTATGTCTGAAGCATAGACACAATTTGGTATTCTTTCATGAAGCCATAATCTGGCTGGGACTGTTGTAGACTGAAATAATCAAAATACAGAGTTTCTCATCCTTTTCTTCGTTCTTCGTCTTCACTCTTGAAAAATTTTGAAAGTGTTGTGCAATAAACGTGAAACATGGTTGTATGGATGTAGCATGAACTTTTGCTCCTTTATTGGTCCTTTTTTATTTTTTTGTTGGTACTTTGTTCTTTGAGCATTGAACGTTTGGATGAGAGAAAGAGAACGTTTCTAATGGTTTTGCTTCTAATCTGTTGAAAAATGTTTCAATTAAAAGGAAATGCAATCCCCAGTCTTTTGCTGATGCAAAAATGTCGGGTTTTTTATTTATTTATTTTTGTTTTGAAATTATAGGGGGCTAGAATGTTTAAGCAAGTATGAATTTCAAAGGGTGAAATGGTATAATCCTTGTAGGCGGGAGGGGTGTAGGGTAGGGTAGGTGTGGCTTTTGCAACCAGTTGTAAAAAGAGGTCCATAATTGAAGGAGGATGTTGGAAGTCATTGGATTCATTGATCCTTCCTCCGATCATGGTAACTATGAGAATTCATCACATTGTTCTTTTCCCTTTTTTTTTTTTAACTATACAAAGGATGCGTTGTAGATTTGTAATAATATATATTATTCAACGTTCATGTCTTTTTGCTGTTCTTGATTCAAGATTTGTCCGTCCAATCTGTTGTGCTTGCCCTGTCCTGCGCTGCGCTGCCCTCCATCGGTCCTCTATAACTCTCTCGGCTAGTTCCCTCTGAATTTTTTATCGAACATGTAGACTTTTGATAGTTGTGTAAAAAGTAAGAATAAGTCTTTCTTTTCGGATAAATGCGAATTCTTAATGAAGTTATCATCACTTTTTGTCACACTTGGGGCCTGCTATTCTTTTGCTAATTTTTTGTTCCATCCATCATTATTTTGTTTGTCTTATACCATATGATGTCTCCGTAAAACACCAACAACTCAATTAAAATGAAGATTAGAAGGCAGGCAGAAGCACGAATCAAGTTGCAACATGCGAAGTCACGAAAGCTATTTTGAGCATTATTATATTCTTTAGTTCCCAGTTGGCACTTTTGAATTTAACAACCCCAAATGGGAAAAAAGAAGCAATACATATAGATAGAACAGAGTAAAGTTGAAACCAAGGGATGGGGCTGGCCTAACTCCTCCGTAGAAGAAAAAGACTTGTTTTACTACTTACTAGGGACCTGCTCAAGTATAGACAGCTTGTTACATCTCTCATGCCTGTGCGCGCAGCCGCAGTCAGCCATGCACGTTTTTTATTACATTTTAGCAAAACCAACACGCCATCTTCACCTTTATCCCATCTATCTATAATATAAAGGCAGCACAATAATGATCAGCTATTCTCTCCATCTTCCTAACATTTCAGTAATTCTTTTGATCTCTTTGTTAAGTGAAAATGCCAAGCTTAAAGTACTCTAGCTGTTTCATATTCTTTGTTGGTATGTTTTCAGTTTCATTAGCTACGCTTAAGGTTGGCTTCTATAAATCAACCTGTCACTCTGCAGAGTCTATTGTGAGAAAAGCTGTGGACAAGGCTGTGTCCAGGAACCCGGGTATAGCTGCTGCCCTGATTAGGATGCATTTCCATGATTGTTTTGTAAGGGTACGCTTCTCACTCCACCTTCATTGTTCTTCATAGTTAATTTCCATCATTTCAACAATCAAAAAAGGAGAAAAACGTCAGTCATATGGTCCTGGCAAGGCTCGAACTCGCGACCTTCGGCTCAGAAAACCAATGTTCTAACCCACTGAGACACGGGACCAATTCCATGTTAAAAGCCATATGTTTACTTTTTCGTGAAAATAACTAAATGGAACTGTTCCTGCTTCCCATCTTACCTTATGATTTATTACTATTAACAATACAACATTAAATGGTTTACTGTATACTGATTAATCATAATTTTCCATACTATGTATGTTCCAGGGCTGTGATGCCTCTGTCCTTTTGGATTCAACACCAGGTAGACCATCAGAGAAGGAACATCCGGCTAACAAACCAAGCTTGAGAGGCTTCGAAGTGATTGATCAAGCAAAGGCTGAAATTGAAGCAAAATGCCCTCGAACAGTTTCATGTGCAGATATCATTGCATTTGCCGCGCGTGACAGTGCCTACAAAGTTGGTGGTATTAAATATGTAGTGCCTTCAGGGCGCCGCGATGGAAGAGTTTCACTAAGAGATGAGGGCTTCGGAAACCTCCCCCCACCTTTCTTCAATGCCAAGCAACTGGAAGAAAATTTTGCACGAAAAGGCCTTAACCTTGACGAAATGGTGACACTTTCTGGGGCACATTCCATTGGTGTTTCACATTGTTCTTCTTTCTCTGATCGTTTATACTCTTTCAATGAAACTCACCTACAGGACCCTTCATTGGATCCAGAATTTGCTAGGCAAATGAGGAAAAGGTGCCCCAGACCTGGATCAAGCCATGATCCTACAGTGCCACTTGATGTTCTTACACCACACAGGCTAGATAATAAGTACTATACAGTTTTGAAGAACCATCATGGCTTGTTAACATCTGATCAAACTCTTCTAAGCAGTCGCGCCACAGCAAAAATAGTAAGGGAGAATGCAAGGCATGGTAAAGCATGGGCCAGAAAGTTTGCTGCAGCAATGATTAAGATGGGTTACATTGAAGTGCTCACAGGGTCAAAGGGTGAGATCAGGAAGAATTGCAGGTTTGTGAACTGAAAATTGTTTGTGGCCTAAGGTGGGAGAGATTATGGAGTTGTTTTATGGTTAGTTTTTTAATCATGATTTGATTACATGTTTCATTCTAATGCTGTCAAGCGTAAATTTGTTTGAAAGTCATCTTTATTCTTTCCAAGTGTAAATTTGTAAGTCTTTGGTTATATTATCATGCGTAGAAACACATGGAATAAACTAATAGTTTGTTGGACAAATGTAAACACAAGTGTTCCGACTTGAAGTTCAACTTCAACATTTGATATTCTGATTGATTGTATAAATTTAAAGGAAAGAAAGGCTTCTCTTATCATAATAAGGCTGCTTCAAGTCTCCAATAGGTGTGCAAAAGCTTGGCAAATGAGTACCAAAACGATAAGGGAAAAAAGAGAAGACGAAGAAGAAGAAGAGAAAATTTAATGCTAATAGCAGCTTTACTGTGTACAAATTTAAAAACTCGGTTGGTGTAACAGTGTGTCTATTTGAAATTTGTAAGCGTACCAGAAATTTAACTAATAGCTAATATTTCAATACTTGAGGTTAATATTAATGGTACTCGTAAATGTTTTCAAGAAGTTATTCACCGTTAACCCATACCTGTCAAAATCATATGTAACTGATTGTCCGTTGAATACGGTAACGAAATGGATTTAGGTACTAATCACTGGCCATTAGCTTATGATGGCATATTGTTAATTAGTTTTGATTGCAACTTCATATATAGCAAGTGCACAAACGATAACCTACAGAATCAGCAGATCCTGGTGCTTAATGAGATCATCTAGAACTAAATCCTGTTATGGGCCATGCCAAAAACTTTCAAAATCTTAACCATTTTGCTAAATAATCGAAAACAGAGTTTATATAATTGAGAAATTAGAAATTATATACTTAGTATAACTGGCATCAACCACCCTATTGATGAACCGCATCAACCTTCTTAAAAGTAAAATGCACGGGTAAGAATGCAATAAACAGGGAAATTTTTTTATACCGAAAAAGGAACACATGACAGAGTGACAGTGTCCAAGATTTTAAGGCTAAGCAGACCTAATAATTCCCGTTAGGTAAGGACATCATAAATACACCAGCAGCACCATAAATCCACCTTAATTACTCCAAGGATGGTGAGTACGGGTGATCTTTGGAACAATAGGACTCAATTGGTTAAAAAACAGCCATGCCATAAGAATTAGCATGCTCCAATATTGTATCAAATGATAGGCAAACATGTCTAACTTGGACTACCTCACTTCCCTTTTATTGACGAATTGAGCCACTTATACCTTCTCTTGGAGCCCTCTTAGCAGCATTAGACTCTATTAGCATCTTTGATACAAGTCAATCAATGTAAGCCGTTAAACCTTTAGAATTAGCTGCATAACAATTTCCATTAAGAAAAAAGATGCCATTTGATTGGATTTACTGTCGTTCCATGTGGGCTTATATAAGCCGTTTCAGTTGAATTGAACCTTGGCTAAAAAATGCCAATATTAATTAAATGTCTTAGCTGTATCATTTAGTGATCACAACTTAATTTTCAATGGAAGTCTACCTCTTTTTGCTGAGTAAGAAATGATAGGCATACATTAATTCAATTGAAATGAAACTTTGGTGCTATAAAGATGGGCAGGATGGCTAGGATTCTCACATACTAACAAATCACAAACAGTGAGTAAGTAAGTGAGAGAGCAGGGTTTGCTATTTGCTAAGGTGCAGTTGGGAGTGGTTTCATAATGGAAAGAGTTGCAAAGATGCTGTTGATCTCAATCGTTGTCATGGTGGTCCTTGCCTCAAATGCTGAAGGAAGAAAACTCAAAGAGGAAGTTGACCACCCTCAGAACTTCCTTGGAGGCTTTGGTACAAGTGGCGGGCTCGTTCCAACCCCTGGGGGAGGTGTCGGCTTTGGTCTCGGGCCATCAGTCTTTTGTGCCTTCCCTGGGACCGGATGCGTTCGCGTCCAGCCTACTATCCCTGGTGGTACCATCGGCACTGGCACGCCACCATGATAGATATCCTGATTCCAGCTTGGTGGGTGTGGCTTCAACTTTCAAATTTTTTAGGGCGTTGAGTGAATTTCAGATATGGAGGTTTAAGCTGTTGTGCGTTTAGTTAGGTGTTTTCTAGAGTGCGTGTTTAGCATGTAGGACAATGTGTGTGTCTAATAGTAGCAACTTAATGGCCATCCTTTATGGTTGACCATTTGCCTTATCAAAACATGAAGGTTCTAGCTTCAGGTTTCGAATCTATTTCTAAGCAAATGAAGTCCATCTACAGCATGATCCATGTCTAAGCTGTTTCTGTTTTGCTCAACATATGTATGTAATGGTTGATGGTTTGTTCAAACTTTCACCCCTCTGCCCCTCTCTTCATCTCTGCCTTCCTAAAGGCTATACCTCAGTGGATTTTTGCGATAGCAGGAGAAAAAATAAGGATGGTAGAGCTAGTTTTCTGTTTCCTTCAATCAACCTGTTAACTGGACGTTCCTAATTGTAATTCAAAGGTCTATTTAGTAGTGTTAGACTGGTGCGGACAATGCTCATTGAAGCTTTCAGCGAGACAAAAAGTCTGCAAGAAATGAAAAACGATGTTTTGAAAACAAGGTTTATGATCTGAAACATGAAAGATTAGTTTATTTGGTGATCAAAATAACAAAATATTTTAAATCCTTTTACAAAGACATATCTTCATAAATCATAAGAGTAAACAACAACAAAAAAAAAAAAAAAAAAAACTAAAATGAAAGGGTTGGAGCAAATGAACACTTAATGGGGTTAAACGACATCGTATTCTTATGTTTCTATTTTAATTAAGATATATAGTAAAGTCGTAGTAAGACGGTTTAGAAAACACCAAAAGCAGTTTATAGTTGAAAGTCCCTTGCTTTTTCTCCGCTCTGTTTGGTTACTAAGAAAACAAAAATCCAACCCTATGTCTTTTCCCTCATATTTCTGCTTTTTGCCAGAGTCCAGAAGCAGGTGAAAAGAAAAGGTTAAAACTTTTTCAGCCCTTACCCTCACTTCCCCTTCAATTTTTAACTGCGCTTTCATTTTGCCTTCTCTTAAGATTAAGATCCCTAATTCTTCATATACCTAATATATCTTTTTTTTTTTTTTGGTGCTTCTTTTCTGTTTAATCAAACGTCGTCGTTAAAGATATTGAAATTTGACTTGTATTTTCTTGCTTTATTTGTGATGATTCTGTGAGTAACACTGTGTGATCTGACAGTTACTGTTAATGCAATTTAGCTTAGATGAGTAGATTCATGAGAATCTTATACGAGTTTCATTTCATCTTTTTCTTTTTCTTAAATTTTGAGCTCATTTTGGATGTAATTTTACTTGTATTGCCACCTTATTTAAACTAAAGTCTCAATTTTTATAAAGGTGAATTGAATCAAATATAGTTTCGGCTTTAAGTTTGAAGATGAATGATTGTTTGTTTAAAGACTTAATGAAACTGATCTGATACTGTTAGTGTTTGTGAAGTATGCACGATGTTCATTAAAGTTAGAATTTTTAGCTTTGTGTCTTGTTGTGAGTGCTAAATTCATAACATGGTGCAAACTAGCAAAATACTGTGAAATTTCTAACTGAATACAAAGCCAAATAGATTTGAGATTGAGCCATGCATATGGACTTGGCTTTTTTGTTTGGAAGTGCTCGCTAGGTAGGTAGGCAAATAGATAGGTTGTTGCTACCTAATGATGCTGTGACAGTGATCACAACATGTTTTCGTTGTGATAAAGGTTTTTACTAATTTATGGTTCCATTAAAGTGGGATATTACGAGTGTTGAATGAGAAATGGGTCCATCGTTTAGCACGAAATTTACTGTCATCATATGTCGCATAAATTGGTTATACGCTGAGCACAAATTTGTTTTGTTGGCAGGATTTTCGTTTTTCCTTTGTTTGGTCAGATCCAGAGAGAAAAATGGATGATAGTTGTGCTGTCTGTGCTGATACACTTGAGTGGGTTGCATATGGGCCATGTGGCCATCGAGAAGTCTGCTCCACTTGTTTCATTCGGCTCCGATTCATCTGTGATGATTGCCGATGCTGCCTTTGCAAGTCTGAATTGAAAACTATCTTTATAACTAAAGTTAAGTCATTCTTTTTGTTCTTGAGATTCATATCTGGTAATAGTGATTTGTTTTCGTTAAGTAGTTAGTTTGACCATCTAAAAGATCTGTTTGGAGGCAACACCTCATCTTTCTTGCAATCAATTGTGAGCTCTCTGGTGCTCCTGCCAAAAATTGGCTTCTTTATCAGTTTTCTGTTGCTGCCTACTTATACTGAACTATGTTTTTGTTGCATGCTGAATTATGGAAATAGTACATGCTTAAGTTTATTTTTAATTCCAGGCTATGGGAGATTATACGAAGGTGATAAATGACTTCTCAGCTTTTGCAGCTGATCCGACTGAGGGCCAGGTTGGGTCTTACTGGTACCATGAAGGGACACAAGCATATTTTGATGATCTGGATCACTACAAGATGATAAAAGCCATGTGTAGGCTGTCCTGTACTGTTTGTGATAAGAAGGCTGAACAGCAGAATGCTACGTCAAAGAGGAGAGCAGAGTTTAAGAACATCGAGCAGCTTAAGAGTCACTTGTTTAACCGGCATAGGCTGCTTATGTGCAGTCTGTGTTTGGAAGGTAGGAAGGTGAGATTCAGTTGGTTATGTCACATATTATGTACTGAAGGAAAATGGATATGTTTCTTACTATAGGAATTTGAAACTATGCTAGAAGAATGTTATCGAGTGGCTTTCTGATTCATCAGTATGTCTTGAATTATAATTGATAACTTGCTAGATACATTGTGTGGAATGAGACAATGATTGAGTTTGGTCTCTAAGGTTCTTCAGTTTATGTGATTGCTGATCTTTGCTTTTCTGCTTCTTTTTTATCCCCTTGTTTTAAATTTCATTATACATCCCTGTTTGGTTAGAAATGAGTGGTGCAAGAAGATTTAAACTTTGACCTAACATGATTCTTTTTTGGCCTTTCATACAGCTGATCCCAGGGTTATGAGATATTAGGCTTAGTTTTTTGTTGTTGTTTGTATCCCTGTTTGCTAAGATTCTCATAACTTTCCAGAGGCATGAATATTGATGATTGCACAATAATGTATTTGACATTATATTCAATTTCTGAGTCAGGTCTTTATGTGTGAGCAAAAGTTATATACTAAACCACAACTGGATCAGCATATAAAGACAGGTGACTCAGTGGTTGATGGCACTGAAGGTGAAAGGGGAGGATTTATGGGACATCCAATGTGTGAATTCTGTCAAAATCCATTCTATGGGGAGAATGAGCTGTACTTGCATATGTCTACTGAACATTATACTTGCCACATATGCCAAAGGTGAGCCATATTATTGTGATATAATAATAATTCAGAGACTGCAAATGTCATCTATGCTAATTCTTCTACACATCCAATTTATATGGTTCAATGCAGGCGGCATCCAGGACAATATGAATACTATAGAAATTATGACGACATGGAGGTTAGAAGTCATTTTTTGTTTTCCTTTCTTGTTGTAGTTGTTATATTTTGATTGTCCATAGCATCATAAATTTTGCTGCAGATCCATTTTCGTCAAGAGCATCATTTATGTGAGGACGAGGCCTGCCTTGCCAAAAAATTTGTTGTTTTTGCAACTGAATCTGAACTGAAGGTGTGTGCACAATTGTTATATTTGTGTACTTTTTCCTCTTGTTTGAAGTACAATGCACTTTTTTAAATGAAAATAAATCTGTAGAGGCACGGTACTGTTGAACACGGTGGGCGCATGTCTCGTTCCAAGCGTAACGCTGCACTGCAGGTGGGTTTGGATCCTTTGAATTCTCATTGATGTTAATGAGGTTCCTTCAATCCCTTAGTATCTTATTACATATTTATTTGATCTGCTGCATTTTAGACAATTAATTGCTATGTTATGCTTTGAATTTTCTTGCTTGCTTCTCATCCTTCCACTCTATTATTAAGAGATTGTAGATTGCTTCTACTTTTTCTTTTTCTCATTATATCCAGATACCAATAAGCTTCCAGTACCGGCGGAGTCATGAGCAAGATCATCGGGTAAGAGGACATGGTACTTATCATGATTCATCAGATAGTCAACTTTCGTTGGCCATACAAGCTAGTCTTGTGACAGCAGATGCTGAAAGTTTTCATCATACTTCAACAAGTGACCAAGCGATTGTCAATACTGAAGTTGCCTCTGTTGTTGGCCCTTTTGCTGCATTAGCTACATTAGATTCCGAAACATCTTCAAGATATTGCCAAGCACTAGGAAACTCTAGGAATGGACCTCTTGAAGACTCATCCTTTCCTCCCCTTCCTGCAGCATCAAATGGCAGTCAACAAAAACTAAGAAATGCTTCAGAAGGATCAGCTAGAAGAAGCATGGCTGCTCGCTTACGTCACCGAAACAATGGGACTTTAATTGTTTCTAATACCGCTCAGGCTTGGCCTGCAGCAAGTCTTCAACCTAACATATCAACTACTAGTGAGCACCGGTCTAGGCCTGTGGCAAATTTTTTGCACTTATCAACTAATTCATCTAGTTCTTCCAAAAGTAAGCCTGCTAGAATTAAGGAATTTTTGCCATCTAGTCATGTAAGCTCTGCTCAGGGTTCTTTTTTCGGACTTACAGCTAATTTTGCTAGCTCATCCAGGAGTTCAATTGGCACCAGTAAGGTCAGCCACCCTGCTTGTGCTCCAAATCTTGTAGACACAGGTTTATTTGATAATTCCCTTTCTAATTTTCCTCCAGTTTTTTCTGCTCAAGTCTGTAAGAAAGCAACTGCAAGTAGCCAGCCTTCACCAAACGTGGAAGATGTTCAATCTGCTAACAAGGCTCTAGTGGAAAAGATCCGCGTTTCTTTAAAATTTGACAAGGACAAATGCTCTGCATTCAAAGGAATAACTGCTGAATATCTTAATGGTTTTATGAACACCGAGGAGTACCTTGCTTTTGTGCATCAGTTTGGGTTGTCACATCTTGTTCTTGAGCTAGCTAGGTTATGTCCCAATGTTCAGAAACAAAGAGAACTTGTGGAGATGTACAATTTTAACTTGAGTTGCAGCTGTTCTAACAAAAATGGTTTGAGCAATGATGCTGATCAATTGAAAAACAAAAAAAGGTCAAAAAAAGGAAAGGAGAAGTATGAGGACAGTGGCATTAATGGTTTAAAACATGCTTTGGCAGATGATATTAATAGTGGGGTGACAGTTTGGCAATCAAATGAGAAGCCTTCTGTGGAAGAAGCAGAGGTCTTGTTGAAGGATGGGCATCACACTGCCAAAGGCAAATCAAAGGTTTGGGCTGATGAAGAGGCTAATTCACATTACCCCAGTCAGTCTCCAACGGAGTTCAGGAGTGGGAATGGTTCTCAGCCAGCTTTTGGTGGCTCAAAGAAAAATTTGGCATCTGAAGGAGGGGGAAATAAGCCACGGAAAAAAATCTCCAAGTTCCTTAGAAACCGCCTTGGTGATGCTTCAGCTGCAGAACTTCCAGATGTTGGAAACTGTGATCCTGGTCCTGATCAGGTTAAAGAAAAAGCAGGTGAAAATAAGGAGCCACCTGAAGGATCGGTGGTTCGTGGTGTATGGCGAAATGGTAGAGGGCTGAGACTGATGGCAAAGACCCAAACAAGACCATGTAAATGATATTTTGTGTAGGGCTCGATAGAAGTAGGTTGTTTGTGGTCATTGCCTTCCAGGCCTTCCAGGCCCAGTAGTTTTCTTGGATATGTTAATGAAAATGTGGTGATAGTTTGCAAGGTGTGTATTTCTAATTTGGGCCCAAAAAAGGAATTGAACACTTGTGGGTTTTCTAAGCTGATGAAAGTAGGAGATGTTGCAAAATTTGGTTATGGACCTGTCTTACGACTTTTTGTGCCTTTTGATCACCTATATAATTTATTTAGAGTATTTGAACAAAGGTCAATGGCTTATGGGGAAAATAATAGTATCAGTAAGAAAATAGATGGTGAAGATACTATTGCTGGAAAAAAGAAAGAAAATGAAATGGTTCTGAGTTCTCCGGGATTTGATTGAAGGCATCATTCAAATGAGTAGAAATTGATTGCAGTATCATGATGTAATATGTAAAATTTTAATTAATTGGGATTTCGTATTTACACCGACAATGAAATGCAATGGATTGTTAGTTAAACGGTCCCTGCTCCCTGTCCATATATAACCAAGACATTTGGCCCATTAAAACAATCGTGCAGTCTGGTAAGCTAAAAGGAAAAAGGAATAGCTCTTTCTTCACTCCCTCCACTAACCGAAAACACAGTTTCAACTTCCTTCTTTGCATGAATGGCCGACTGCAATGAAACCAGCAGCCCGACCAGCAGCAGCCACACCACCAGCGAATCCTCCTTCCTCTGGAACCGACTCTGGCAGTTTTCTTTCATGAGATTTGGCTCCTACTCACAAAAATATCAGTTTCAGTTATTTTATACTTGTGCTTATGACTAGGTGTTTGTTTTTTGTGCTCCAACATAAGCAGGCAAGGCAACTTCCGATGCAGTGCTCGATGCCTGCCTCGAACAGAACCCCGAAAGCAAAGTTGCTTGTGAGACTGGCACCAAGACCGACATGGTTATGAGCGATCACCACCGCAGCTAATGTAGACTATGACACGTGATACTTTCCGTGACATTGGATTTGGCTCCGATAATGTGAGTCTTGATGCCGACAACTGCAAAGCTCTAGTTAACATCGAGCAGCAGAGCCCTGATATTGCTCAGGGTGTTCATGGTCATCTTACCAAGCGCCCTGAGGATATTGGCGCTGTTGATCAGGGTCACATTTTCGGATATGCCACCGATGAGACCCCTGAGTTTATGCCTTTTAGCCATGTACTTGTAACCAAGCTCGGCGCCCGCCTCACTGAAGTTGGCAAAAATGGGACTTGCCCATGGTTGAGACCAGATGTTAAAACTTAACTCACTGTTGAATATAAGATAGTTGAGACCTGATGGTAAAACTTAAGTCACTGTTGAATATAACAATGAAAATGATGCCATGCTTCCAGTTGATGTCCACACTGTTCTCATGTCCACGCAACATGATGAAACTGTTACTAATGATGAGATTGCAGCAGACCTCAAAAAGCATGTTATCAAGCCAGTCATTCCCAACAAGTACCTTGACGAGAAGACCATCTTCCACCTCAACCTGTCGGAGCGTTTTGTGATAGGTGGTCCTCATGGAGACGCAGGTCTCACTGGCAGCAAAATCATCATTGACACCTACCGTGGTTGGGGAGCTCATGGTGGTGGTGCCTTCTCTGGCAAGGACCCTACTAAGGTAGACAGAAGTGGTGCCTACACCGTTAGGCAGGCTGCCAAGAGCATTGTTGCAAATGGTCTTGCTCGCAGGTGTATGGTCCAGGTCTCGTATGCAATTCGTGTGCCTGAACCATTGTCGGTGTTTGTTGACACATATGGGACTGGAAAGATCTCAGATAACGAAATTCTGAAGATTGTGGAGAAAAACTTTGATTTCAGGGCCCGTAGATAGCCATTAACTTGGATCTCAAGAGGGGTGGCAATGTCAGGTTCCAGAAGACTGCTGCAGACGGACACTTTGGAAGAGATGATCCTGACTCCACATGGGAGGTGGTGAATCCCCTCAAGTAGGAGAAACGTCCAGACTAAAATATTATTGATTTGTTGGATCAATAATGTGTTTGTTTTTGGCAGCTGCTCTGTAATTGATGTATTGGTCTTTGTGTTTCTTTAATCTTGTCTTTCTTTGATTACCCTTTTCTTCAATAATAATGTTTTTATACCATTTTTCCATAAATGAAAGAATATATATACATGTATTCCCAACTGTGCGGAGAGGAGCCTTGTTTCCTATATACCTCCTATGCTGAAAGCATTGGGATAGGATGCAAGAGATGATCATGTTATTCTTCACTAACTATGCTATACAGTGTGCAAATGTTGAAATGATTGTTGTTATAATCTGAAATGCAACAAGTAAGAGGATGGTACAAAAGTAAGAGAAGTTCCTTTACTAAAGAGAAATTTAGCTTAGCTAAGGGTAAACATAAAGGTCAACATAAGACATTGCAAGTCTTGTTACATGGATCATATGTTTATGGACAACATTTTCATCCTCTTGGGAAAGAGAAATTCACCTTCGCTCAAAATTTAAATGAGCAAGAAGAAATGCAAAAAGAGTTGCAAAAATTAGGGGATAAGAAATCAGAAAGATTGCTATAATATGTAGGCGGTCATGGTGAAACCCAAAATAATCTTCTAGCAAGGAAGCAACCGTCTTGGCTTCACCAAATACCATAATTTCATCATTCACATCTCCATATTGTAAAGTGAGCAAACAATTCAATGTCCAAGATGTAGGCATTAGATAATACAACCAGATCCACCACTTGGGAATTTTCTGCAGAAGAAGAAGAAGACAGCTAGCCAAGCAAAGTGAATACTATCTCATGGTAGTTATTGTGTTTCAATATATTCACTTTTTCCTGCTGTTTTCATCTATGATATGGACAAGAATTTTTTACAGGCCTTTCTCTGAGTCTGGGAGGATAATAGTAATAGCTTACCAGTTTAGGAATCAAAAAGCCAGAGAAAAGATTAAGCGGTGGGTGGAAGGCAGAGGATAAAGCTCCAGCAATTGTGACATCTGGTGTCAATGACACAAACAACATTCCAAAAAAGTTGAAGTAGAGCTGTGTGCAGAGAACATGGCATAGAAGTACCACAAAACCTTATGTGCTGATCCATAGTAGCCAATCATGGTATATGTGATTATCTCAAACACAAGAGCTTGGATAAACAGATGGGGTACCTTAATTGTAACCTGCAAAATAATGAAGTCCCCTCATTTAGTGTTTAAGGTCTATCAAGAAATCAAAAGCTTGTGAGATGGAATAGACGGTACCTGTGCAAGTGCATAAGCCCAGGAAGAGTACATCCCTGCAAATCTTTCTTGATACATAACAACTCTCTCTCTGACAACAAATGGTTGGACGGATGAGCTGCTATTCATCCCCAGAAAGACCACAGAAGCATACATTGAAACAAAAATATTGAACAAATTCTGCTGGTTATTTCTGGGGATTTAAATAAGAAAATAAGATAAAGAATTGAAGTTAGTGCTAAGGAAAGGTGATGCCTATGTATAACTAACCATCCATGAAATATTGCCCCATTCTTACATTTTCTTTCCTTGGTTCCAAAATAGTAAACCCACAGCCATAGATATTATAACAGTCTGCAGGAGACGTGTTAAGTTATATGAAGGACTTCTCCAATAGGACAAATGCCGTTTCCATTGGCAAGATTTAAATTTGCCCCAGCAACTCTGAGAAAATTGGGTTGGAAAATGAAGATCTCTTGAACCAGGAGGTGGATTACCCACCTGCCTTAAAAGCTCTTTGTTGTTCCTACCAACAAAAAGAGGAAAGAAGAAATAAAATAAGTGAATTTGCCAGTTTGTACAGATAATTATTTAATTATACAAACACTTTGAGTTAAGGCAGCATCCTGCCCAGAATGAGGCATTTGCCACACTCACATGGCTCCTTTTGGAAGATAACATCCCCTCATAGCAAGAAAAGGGTTACTCTTTGAAACCTTAGTTTGCTTAACAACTCCTATGACGCCCAACATTACTAGGGAAGTTTCAAGTCAGTGAACCTCAAGCACTCCTATATATTAGTTTCAAGTATAATGGATTCTGTTCTATTAAGCAGTACTCCATTTGATACCTATGCAATTAGTTGAAACTTGAAAATAATGATTCAAGTATAATTCCGACAACATGGGAGGCGATTCAAACAATTTGACATGGAAAATGGTCTTTTCCATATGCTTTCTGGAAAGATACGACTGGTTTATGTCTTCCTAAGATTGTGATTGATGATGTATATAAGAGTATTGCATTTGAGGCACTAATTAATCATTCAACTTAGTAAAAGTCACAACTAAGTACTACTGAGTAATTGAACTCACTCATATAGAGAAGATTTCATGTAAATTTGTGCAAAATCAGCTCCAAGTTCAGCCTCCAAAAATGGGGAGGTAACCTCTAGCATCCATGTTGCTGGATTACAATTGTCTTTAATCTTGGGCACCCCGGGAATACTCTGTCAGAAGAATACAGAGAGTATAGGATCAGGATCAATCAAGACTATCTGCTTGAAGCAATTAATAAAGTTACCAGAGAATGAAAAGAATATGGGGGGGGGGGGGGGGGTTGAACACTTGAACTAACCTCAAAATACTCTATTAACTTTACAAGAATGTTGGCCTAATGGACCAAAGTAGATTAAACTCCCACCATTTTTCAGAAGAATCAACTGCAATGAAAGCAACAGATACATGAAAGAAAAACTTGAAAGGTATATAAAAGGGAATACTCCTTCCTTAATAATGGTTATCTTCACAATAGCAATTATATTTATATATAATGATCAAAATATGGAAATTAATAGAAGAGGGTTTACCTCATCAAATGCTTCAAATATATCAATGCTTGGTTGGTGGATTGTGCAAATAATTGTTCGACCTGTACCAACTACGTTCTTCACTGCACGCATGACAATGGCTGCTGCTCTTGCATCCAAGCTAGATGTAGGCTCATCCATGAAAATTATGGAAGGATTAGCAACAAGCTCTACCGCTATTGTAAGTCGCTTACGCTGCTCAGTCGACAAACCAGTAAGACCAGGTATGCCCACCAAGGCATCCTTGACATCATCGAGTTCAATAATCTCAAGGACTTTTTTAACAAGTTCCTATAAAACCCCAAAAGGCAACTTCATCACAACTTAACTCAAATTTTGGTTTATATGAAATCATCAAACTTTGCATCTTAGAGTCTTACAGATTTAGTTTTTGAGTCAATATCAGGAGCCAGACGCAGCCAAGCCGACAAAAATTAAAGATTCTTGTACGGTAATTTGTCGAGAATGTATGTCATTTTGTTCACAATAACCAGATATCCTACCAAATGTTTCTTGAACTTTAGGGTACGCACCAAGTTTAATTTCTCCTTCTATGCAGTGGAATTCAAATGGCTTAATCCGTTCACTACATCTGGAATTCAAATGGCTTAATCCGTTCACTACATCTGTAACCCGTAAGAATCTCCCTTTC